ATACTGGATTGAAAGCAGATTCCCGATATTTTGCTAAGGGAAAATTACAAGGCCAATGAGCAAATCGCCCATCCTTAATTATCATATATACATGTATAAACTTTTATGCAAACACTTGTGAACATCTCAGTTTTATACTAATTTTTCAATTCTCATAGGTTTAACACCATCCAACGACCGTTCGATTATTACAGATTACAAAATAAGTTTTTCAGGTTAAAGTGTAAAATTTACACATTAATGTGTAAAATTTACAGATTAAAGTGTAAAATTTACACTTTAAAGTGTAAAATTTACAGATTAAAGTGTAAATTTTACAGATTAATAGCCATTCTCTGTAACCACTTAAACTTTTGTGGCACGCATGGTCATAGATTTTTTTTCAAATTTGGCTGGAATTTAGCACCTCATAAACTACTCCAAAAAATATTGTTAGATCATATGAATGTTGAGTAGTTACCATGGAAACGGTGTCTAAAGTTGATTTTTTCTGAAAATATGCAATTTTTAGGAATGTTATTCAATGAAATGCGGCTACTTCAATTCATGATACTCACAGAAATAAAAAGTATGACATCTGATTTTAAAAGACATTTAAAAACATTGTTGGTATTCAGTCTATAAATATGAGAAATCTATGATTAAAATAGCAGACATTCATTTAAAAATTGAATTATCTCCCTTTGATAATTGTGAGCTCTTTAGTGTGAGAGATAAAAAAAATCATTGGACAAAACTGACTGGAAGTTGTGTACAATTGTCAACATATATCCTGGATTTCAAGTAAAATCAAGTGTTTTTTCTGTTTATTTAATGTGCATACAAATTTTTAACCTCTTTGTTTATTTCCTGGATGCAAAAGAGTAATTTTGATGTGTGAACAATGGCGAAATGTACATGATCACACTATAATGTGAGAGAAGTAGGCTATTGATTTTACCTAAATGATTAGATTCAAGCTTCATTTAAATGATCATACAAAACTGGAAGTTGAAAGTTGGATAAAAAATAGACTTGGCAACAACAAAGTACAGGTGTATCAAGTTTATATTGAATGAAGTGATGTAAATTGATGCCTGTCATTAAAGGGAGGACCATTTGATTTGTTTCGGGGGGGGGGGTGACAGATTTTAGAAACTAATAATCTGTTCTTGAAAATGTTGAAAATAAATAATCTGTCCTCTACTGACAGGAAAATAGACAGGAAAATAAATAATCTATCCTTGATAAGTGCTATACAAACCCCACCCCCACCCAAAGGCACTTAATTCGGTAATAATTTTTTTAACCCATAGTATAATAAGTATTATTATTATACTATGGGTTAAAAAATTATTACCAAAACAAGTGCCACCCCCCCCCCCTTCCCACGAAATAGAGTTTGGGCGTATTCCTTTTTTGGGGGGGGGGGGGGCTCTTCAGACTTTTTTTAAGGTGAAACAGAAAATAAATAATCTGTCCAGGATCATCTTGGAAATAAATAATAAGGATTTCACTACTACGAAAATAAATAATCTGACTAGGAAAAAACAAACGCTCTTTACACCCCCATCTAAAATTAAAGAACGAAAAAGTATATTTTATCTCTATTTAAAGGCTGCATGTAGAAAAAAATCCACACCTAAAAACCAGTTTTTAGTGAAGGATGTAACAGAAAATTCAATCTTTTTAATTCCTCCTACTGTTTGCCTTTATCTGTATCACAAAGAAAGAGAAAAGTTATGTGTGTATATTTCAGATTTTGCTTTTTTATTCAATGATTTTGAAAACATTTAGAAAGAAATTGATAATTTTGCTGAAGCAAGAATTTTCTTTAAAGGAAAGATCTTTACCCAATAAAAAAAAAAGGATAAATTGTTAAGGCCAATAATAAAAATGTTTTGTTTGATTCCTGTCGAACAGTCAAAATTATACTTTCATTTTTTTTTTTGGGGGGGGGGGGGGTGCATAGAAATACAAATTGTCTGAATCTTATTTAAAGTTAACGGTTTATCATTTCTCTAGACTAAGATACATTTAGATTGAACCTTGTAGCAGTAAGATTAATTTTAAATCTGTCTAGCTGTATTTTATTTACAACGAAAACATAAATAAATTTCTGACAAGCCCCCCCCCCCCTTTCTACCAAAAAAAAATCATAAAATTAAATTTAAAAAATCTATACCCCGGGAATGGGGGCAGGGTGGGGTTAATCACTTATGAATGAACCACTTCGGAATCCTTTAATTAAATAACGCTTCTTAACGTTTTACAAGGTTTTTTTTTTTTTTTTTTTTTTTTTTTTTAACATGGTTCCTGGAAGGGGTGGAGTAAGTCCTGGCCATTGGTTACTTTACTATATTCATTTTTTAAAATAAAATGAAAACCGTAGGAATAAGGCAGGGACAGATTATTTATTTTCAACATTTTCAAGGACTAAACTTTTGAAATTATGTTTACATTACACACCATAAGGTGTACGATTCCATCAAGCTTACCAACCAACTCAAATTAAGCAACCAACATGAATTCAAGAAAGCACAAAAACAGATTATCCGGACAGGTTCAGCAGATTTTCACAACCGATTATTATTGATTTAATTTTGGGAAAAAGCAGATATATTATGTGTAAACCCATGCATATTTGGGTTGAAATATTCATCATCAATGTCTCTAAATTTTCAAGTTTTTAAGAATAATATTGCAAAGTAATTTAAAAATGGATTTAGGCTTTTTCTGTCAATTTCTCTGGAAAAAGTCACAGGAAAACATAATTTGATTGTCACTGGAAAAGAGTGGGCTGTTGAATAGGGTCAAAAATGTACATTTTAGATTAAGGACTTAGTCTACAAAAACAACAAAAGAGTTCTTACATGCATGTAGCACAATTCTCTACGTACAAGTCATTCAATATGGTAAGTGTATAGGCTTTCAATATTTTGACTTGGCTACATTTTTATCAATAAATGACCTTTAAAAAACATTCTCATAGCATTTTCACATTATATATGCATCAACCTAAAGGTGAGAATGTAATTTATTTACCAGTTTCAGTATAAAACAGGATACGCTTTCACAATATCCAAGTATAAATGCAATACTAACAAGCTAATTCAGAGAATCTGTGTCCCCTGCTTAAGGAAAAAAGAGCATGTACGGATCTAGAGGGGTGGTGGTCGTAGGATGGTGGGGGTGGGGGACGGGACACTTTCAGAGGAGCGGGCTGGACCATAGGGAGTTATGATATAAAATTTCATTGCAAAAGCTTAAAAGCTTCATGAGATATTGCTCAAATATGAAAGTTTTACACACAAACAGAATGTATAAATTTTTGACATTGACCTTTGACCTTTTGACCTCGAAATCAATAGGGGTCTTCTTTAGTTCATAGGGAGTTGTGGTTTAAAATTTCAATGCAAAAGCTCGAAGGCTTCTCGAGATATCGCACAGAAATAAAGTGTTTAAACATACTGAATTTATGAATTTGTGACCTTGACCTTTGACCTTAAAATCAATGGGAGTCTTTCCTAGGCCACAGGGATTTTTTATGCAAAATTTAATTGCAAAGGCTCAAAGGCTTCTCGAGACATCGGGCCGAAACTAAAGTGTTACAGAAAGACAGACTGACGGACAGATGAACGGTCAGACAGACCCAAATCAATATCCCCCTTTTTCAGTGAAAGCGGTGGACAAAAAGGCAATTTTTATATACCATTGTGACCTTGAACTTTGACCTTCTGTCTGTATTTACCAATTCAGGTGATGCTACATGTAGTTATTGCCCACCAGAATGGTAATTTTGTTTATTCATGCTGTTTAAAACAAAAGTATTAGTTGGGACACAGAAAAAAATGTGCTCAGTTTCCTTAAATTTCTATCTAAATCGAGCCATTTTGACCTTGACCTTTGACCTTTTGTCATGAAAATTGATTTTTCTCTTTGTTTTTGCTATTGTGTACCACATAACTAGATTTGGTTTCAATTCATTTTAAAATACTCAGGTATTTATATGGAAACTGATTGTAAATACCTATTGCCCTTGTCTGGAATTCTTTAAAAAAAGCATAAGTTTGTAACCATGGTAACACGAAAACAAAATATGAATACCAAGTGTTTCTTTGCAGTTTATATTAGAACTATATATGGACTTTCAAACCAATGTATTTAATTTTTCCCATATGTCCGCAGAATTTTACACCAGGCTTTTCAAAAGAGCCTAAAATCTACAATTTTTCCACAGAAAAATCCTACCTAAAAACGGGCAATATTTTTTCTATTAGGTAAAGTTGCTCCAATACTAGAAATTATCTAAAGAACTATAGAAATGATGTATTTTGGCAAAAAGATGAAGTCATGTAAATATCTTGTTGTGTTAAAGACTTTTAATTAGTCAAAAAGGGTCATTTTTCATCAAAATTTAGCTTTTTTTAGGCCATGAAAAATGTATGTTGGTTGCCATGGTAACCATGGACCATAGCAACCATTTTATTATGAATTTTAGTTTCATACATCAATATAGGAATGTGTGCCAAGTTTCATAAAAATCTAAGACCTAGCGTGCCACACTCCCTATATAAGAGTTTAAATGCTTACAGAGAATGGCTATTAATGTGTAAAATTTACACTTTAATGTGTCAAATTTACAGATTAAATTATAAAATTTACACTTTAATGTGTCAAATTTACAGATTAAAGTGTAAAATTTACAGATTAAAGTGTAAATTTTACAGATTAAAGTGTAAAATTTACAGATTAAAGTGTAAAATTTACACATTAAAGTGTAAATTTTATACATTAAAGTGTAAAATTTACACTTTAATTTGTAAATTTTACAGATTAAAGTATAGAAATTAAAAAATAAAAACTGTTAAATTGGCACTAATACGCTTCCGTACTTATTGATATTAATGCTTTACATATTTTTTAGCATTGCTTTGTCCCACAATTAAAAAAAGGCACACATCTGAACATAAACGTATCAATTAATTATAATAAATTATAGCTATGTGATTGCCTATTACCTGTCAGTCTGTTTCTGCAGCTTTGAAGCTCCGAACCTGTAAATTTTGGAGAAAAGAATTATATTCCTACTGTGTAATTATTAATTAATATAAACGATCATTTCTTGCTGTATACTACATAAAACGCAATTTGCGAGGTTTGCGTGTTAGTTTGAATGCACACCTTTTATGCTTTTTTTTTATTAAAGAAAAAGCATCCTCTCTAGATAAGCAAGATTCCTATCAAAGCTGTTCAAATAATGACTTCGGGAAAAGGCTGGAACTATAGGCTTATAGGATAAAGACATTAGAAGGACGTTGTCATTCATTTAACATTTGTCTCGTAGACCTTTAGTTTCTTATTACAACAAACAGTATATTTGTATCCAAACGTTTAAAAGTAATTTGTATGGAAATTTAAAAAAAAAAATCATATTTTTTTAAAAAAATTATATGGTTTGAATTATACATGGATCGCTTTTCCCCCTACAAAATTGCTTTGACCTTTAAACTTTGAAAGCACACCTAAGATACACTGAACAAAAAGAGGAAAATAAGTTTTTCTTTAGTTTCACATGAAGGCAAAGGATAATTTTAATTAAACTGAGTAAAATGATTTAATACATTTACATGAGCATGCAGAACCTGGTATACATACACGTATCAAATATGTAACATTTTGCTCCACAGCCGTGATGGCGTTCTTTCTCCAATTTATGACAATAATTACACACTTCATCATGTGGAAAGTCAACTTGAGACCGGGGCTCCTCTCTCAAGGTTCGAAGACCTGAATAAAGACATAAACAATATTGTCTTTATGTTGCATAACTAGATTTTTGAAAAAAAAAACCTCAAATATAAAAAAAAATAATCCGATGCTTCATGTTTAAAACACAACAGATCATGTCGGTAAACAGAGATCAATTGAATGCTAGTTTAACGAATATTTATATACAGTAAAAAAAAAGAAATATATAAGTTGAAGAACATCAAAGTGTATAAGTAGCGTTCATGTAGCTGACCAAGTATATTTTTTATGGATAAATTGGTTTATTATCATGGATAAAATTAAAATGCCCTACCTCCATTGTCTGTAAATGAAGAGGATGTCCACTCGTTGCCTATAGGTGTTGGCCATAAACTACCTTAAAAATTAAGGATTTTCTGTGTTTGATTTCAAAGTTTGCATGAAATGAAATGTGATGATAACAAACATGACGATATTCAAAATACGAACCAGGAGCTGAAACAACACGGACGTCTGAAAACAGAGGTGGGATCAGGTGCAATGGAGGAGTATATATCCTCTACCGAAGAGTTACACCTACCGTGTGCCGCTTGTCATGGTCGGGTAAATGGAAAATCCATAGTCAATTCAGTGTAAAAATAATTGCCTAACAATTTGTATGAAAGACTTCAGTCAATATTTAACCTAACTGTATTTGTAAACAAAGTTATTGTATCAACCATGGAATTTGCGAAATGTTGACTTTAAACGAGATTGTTGATATCTTTGTATCATCAACTTATAGGTCGATACAATGCCTTGTGTTAGAAATTGTTCGCGCTCTTGCCTATCGAATTAACTATGAAACATAAATTCCAAATGCAGGTAATAATGGTTTATTGCTAACAAGGGAAGTTTATGAGAGAAAAATTGAAGTCATCGAGTTTATCATAAAGTTTAGTTGTTAGTTTGCCATCAAAGCCTTTCTCTAGTAGAATATCTAATATAAAACATTCTGTTGTGTCTTTATCTTGAGTTCAATTGGATACATGTATATCAAATCACCGTAGGAATGAATATTAATATTATTAGTTGATAAAACTAGTCTATATATCTAAATGAGGACTTGAAGCTCCCAGCAAACCCTTAAAGTAGAAGTTTCAAATAAATTCTGCTGCATAAGAATACAAAAGCAGACCACAATTAATACCCATCGGAATTCCAACAGATTGTTGGAAGACCTGGTCTCCAAAACGAAAGATATTTTATTCATGATATTTAAATTTCAGAGGCCTAAAAAATTGATTTTTTCTCTGTTCTGTTTGAATGCAAGACTAAAGCTACCCCTACTCTTATAAAGTGAATAAGGTTATGTTGTAAAAATGAGGCTATAGTAGTAAATATGAACATTCTAGAAGCTAAATTAATAATTATGTTCTTAATACATTTCGCACGAAAAGAAAAATTGCAAACTATTGTAAAGTTAAGAAGAAAAAGAAGCCACTAGCAGGTAAAATATCGCTATTTACAATCTATCCTAATTAAGTAAAAGGTGAAGTAAATATGAAGATAACGAACAGTATTCAATCTCGAAAGTCCAATGAAACGATACAAATTTGGAGCAGAGCAAACACGGACCTCAAAATTTAGAGGTGGGATCAGGTGCCATGGAGGAGTGAGCATCCCATGCCGACCGGTCACGCCCGCCGTGTGCTCCTTGTCATGATCGGGAAACAAAAACCAGAAAAATCCGAACAGCGATCAATCTCATGAATCCAGTAAGATAATGAATCTTCGATTTTCCTCTATGACGTAAAGAAAACACATTTTTCATGCAGTCCTACCTGTCGACCAATCAGAGGATGGTAGGTCCCAGACATTACCTAGAAAATAAAAACTTTATGGTGAATCAAAATTAATTTGTTAGGAAATTTGAAACATTTCATAATGTAACATATTTCTGAATTTTGAACATCTAACTCGTAACCTATGACATCTGGTGTAAAGCAAAAGAGTCAACTCGAAATTTACAAGATATAAGTTATTCTCACCCCTTCCTCCCTTTATACCAGAGCATTTTTCAGTCATTATGAGAATTCTGAGATTCAATGGAAATTTTAACACAACAAAATTTTGCGTAATAACACGAATAATTATTTTATAATTGTATTATTTTTTAATAGCCCAATATTATTTTTTACTCCCGTGACTTTTTTTTAATTCGCATAGTTATAGAACCTTGCTTGCGAGGGATAATGTCTAGTATCTATAATCAAAATATGAAGATAATGAAAAGTAACAAAGCTCAAAAAGTCCATTGAAACAATACAAATTGTTGGGAGCAGAGCAAACATGGACCTCCAAAAACATCAGAAGTGGGATCATGTGCCACGGAGGAGTAAGTATCCCCTGTCGACCGGTCATATCCGACGTGGGCTCCTGGTCACGATCGGGCAAACGAAAAATTCCTTAGACAATTCAGTGTGTAAATGATGGCCTTAAACAATTAGTATGAAAAACGTCAGTCAGCATTCGACTTAATAAATGATTGTGTTTGCTGACAATGTCATTGTATCGACCATAGAACTTGCCAAATGCTGATTTTAAACGAGATTGTTGATATCCTTGTTTCATCAACTTGTTTGTCAATAGCTTGCCTCATTTAAGAAGTTGTTCGAACGTAGAGCATGCTCTTGCGTGTCGAATCAAATTGGAAACATAAACTCCATTTGCAAGTGATAATGGAATATTGCTACATAAATGAGCGACGATAGAAAAGTTGGAGTCATCACGCTTATAAAGCTTTGTTGTTATGTTACCATTAACGTCTTTTTCAAGTATAATATCCAAATAGGAAACATATGTGTCAGACTCTGTCGTATCTTTTATATCAAGTTCACTGGGATATATCAAGTCGACATATGAATGGAAGTACGCAGTACATTTAAGGTGCCAAATGGAAATATCGGCGAATTTTTTAGATAGAAAATACATTCTTTACAAGGATGGGCGTTTCTTTTTAGGACTTTAGTATTATCGGACAAATGCAATGTGGTTGAAAACTACATGTTGAGGACGATTAGATTTCTTATTTAGACTTGTCACTTGATGTGGCAGTCACGTATTGAGGTCATCTATAAATTCCAATATTGCAAGGGCACAACCAAGTCAAAAAGCTAAGTTTAACATATAATTATTTTCAACACTCTTTGTAGTTTGTGAAAAGTGCTGCGAACCTATACAGATTCTACTATCTAATTGCTAAAATTACATTTGTTAGATCGTATGTTGAATATTTTGCTGGTCAAGTACATTAAATATGGAAATAATTATTTCATTTGCAAGATTTCAACAGGTTCGCAGCACTTTTCAAATATCTTCATACTTCGTGAGTTTATGTGTAAAAACTTGTCATAATTCATTGAGGGTATGCCCTTGCAATATATCGATTTATTACGACCCTTCTATTACCCTTCAATGAATCTGCATACAAATATACGACAGCATCGCTTGTCTAGGGAATGTACGGGAAGTATATGAATAAAATCATAAAATAGACATCGCATCCAAGTTAATGGCCTCTTATATATCTACAATTTATATTTTATTTAATTACAAAATACATTTTTCATTGTATAAATATAACTTGATCCGCCTCTCACTGCATACAAACTGCGTCAAATTTTACGATATGACGTCACATTGACAAGTGCATTGCGATCAGTGAATTGTTTATATATTGCTGTGTGGGATTTAACCAACGACAATAATGCATGCACTAGTTAGTATTGATGTAGTTTAAAGCTATTCAACAGTTTATAATAGCAAATCATTTCATTTTGTGGTAATTTGAAGAACTTATATTTTTGTGTGATGTCATAATAAGCATTTCTCGTATAAATTAGGTCCCGCCTCCTTACTGCAGCCTTAACTGTGCTGCGTAACTATTGTTAATTGATAATACGTCGTCGATATGGTGAATGCCACAGCAGGTATTTTTCTTCTTCTCGTGTATGAAATATATGGTGATAACGAACAGTATTCAAGCTCAAAAGTCCATAAAACAATACAAAATAGGAGCAGAGCAAACACGGACCTCAAAATTTAGAGGTGGGATCAGGTGCCATGGAGGAGTGAGCATCCCCTGCCGACCGGTCACACCCGCCGTGTGCTCCTTGCCATGATCGTGAAATAACGGAAAAATCCGTCGACAATTCAGTGTGTAAATAATGGCTTAACAATTAGTATGAAAAACGTCAGTCAGCATTTGACTTGAATGATAAATTGTATTTGCTGACAAGGTCATTGTATCGACCATAGAACTTACGAAATGATGACTTTAAACGAGACAGCTGATATTCTTGTCTCATCAACTTATTTGTCAATAATTTTATAAGTTTTTGAATAAATTCTGCTTCATATGAATACAAAAATAGGTCTGCTAATAAGGTGGTGCGATTGGTACCCATGGAAATTCCGACAGTTTGTTGGAAGACTTGATCTCCAAAAACTACATATATATTTTAATAAGAAACTCAAGCATCTTTTTAATATCAACTTCGGAGTACTTGTGTTTACAATCAGAATGTTTTTAACAAAGTAATTTTGAAAATGACCAATAACAATATAAGTAAATTAACGAGTTCCATTTTTATTGAAAGAGCAGCTTTTTATGATGTCAAAAAGCCTGGCCTATAATTCATTTATGGGAAATGGTTGTATAAAGCGTTGAAAAGTCGTACGTGTTGATGATTTTGGTAAAATTTTGTGATTCCAAATTTTCTTAAAGTTCCTTGGAGTTTTTAAATATCCACATGTGATTTACATCACTTCTCAAATATATCGTTGTAAAGTACTCATGAAGTTTCTCCTTCGATGCCGTGAATATTTTAGTGAGGAGTAAAGAAAGAAGCTTCGTGGGACATTTACTGGAACTGGCTATGTATCTTTCTTTGTAAGGATTCTTATGTACTCCAGTAGCTTAGGAATCCAGTGTAAGTATGATAACAAACTCAATTTGATTGTTGGGAATATTAAAAATATTTAAAACTAACATATGATTTTAAAGAATTTTCTCATTAGAAAGGGAGCTATGGGTATAAGGTTACCATTTGTAGAATTCAATCCCAATTCCTCTAAAATACAATTAAAATATGAACCTTAACAAAGACAAAGTTGTAACATGCTTTAAAGTTATAGTGATTTCTTTAGTTTTATCTTCAATACTGAAAAATGTTACCATTTTGGGAAGTATGAATATGAATACACCTTTGAATACACCGTTGGATACTAGTTAAAGCACTTATAGCAAAATAAATAATAAATAAATAATTTTTATCTACCTGTCGACCAATCCGAAGATGGTAGATCCCAAACATTACCTGAAAAACAATCCTCCTGGTCATTTAAAAGTTTACTTTCCTAGGAATATCCGAAATTTTACGTATGCATATTGCTAAAACTTTTTATTCATCCCGGATTCTAACTTGTGACTTGCTATGAAATAGAATTATTAACTCGATGTTCGTGAGAATTCACTAGTGCGCGCTCCTCTCTCCGTCTCTCATGTAGTTGTTCGGCAAGTACAGAGTTTGGAAATTTTAATTCTTTTAATGGAAAATATCTCCAATTTGAGAAGTAAAGAAATTATGTATATTTCATTTTTAGCTAAACTTTGAATACCAGTGACAATCCAAATAAAATATTAATAAAAACTTTTTATAGAAATAAATCTTAATGTGAAAATAAAAATTTCCTCTTATCCTGGGGAAAAACGGATTTTTAGCCATCTAAAGGATGTAGAAATGAATGTCAAGATTAAACATTACATATAATTTGCTGAAATTTTCTTCGATTCAACTCGGATTCCTACTCATAAGCTATTATCAATCTGTATGATCTATACATCTGAATTCGAGTGAAAAACTTTTATCCCGTGTATGAAAATTCATTGTTAAGTCCCCTACCTGTCGTGGAGGATGAAGAATCCCAGGATGGTTGTCCCCAAACATTACCTGAAAGAAAATCTCGCGGTGAGTATGAAATAATTTTCTGAAAACGAATGCCTCTGAAACAGTTGAAAGATGAATACTTTTTAGAAAGTTATTCACCCCTCTAAATAAAATACAATGAAACTTCTCTAAACTGGACCATTCCAAATGACCGGATTAGAGGGGTTGCTGGTTTTCTGAGGTTTACAAAGAATTGAGTGTTCTTTTTATACAGTATCGACTGGTTGGAAGGAATGCTGGTTATCATGGGTCTCGGATTGAAGAAGTTTCACTGTTTATAGATGAAATATATGGCGATAACGAACAGTATTTAAGCTCAAAAGTCCATAAAACAATACAAAATAGGAGCAGAGCAAACACGGACCTCTAAACATCAGAGATGGGATCAGGTGCCATGGAGGAGTGTTGCATCCCCTGCCGACCGGTCACACCCGCCGTGTGCTCCTTGTCATGATCGGGAAATAACGAAAAAATCCGTCAACAATTCAGTGTGTAAATAATGGCCTTAAACAATTAGTATGAAAAACGTCAGTCAGCATTTGACTCAATGATAAATTGTATTTGCTGACAAGGTCATTGTATCGACCATAGAACTTACGAAATGATGACTTTAAACAAGACAGCTAATATTCTTGTTTCTTCAACTTGTTTGTCAATAATTTACCTCATTTAGAAATTGTACATACGTAGAGCATGCTCTTGCGTATCGAATCAACTGAGAGATATATACCCCGTATGCAGGTGAAGAAGGTATATTGCTGCATAAGTAAGGGAAGTTGACGATTGAAAAGTTAAAGTCATCACGTTTATCATAAAGCTTGGTTGTTATGTTACCATTAACGTCTTTTTCAAGTATAATATCCAAATATGAATCAGACTCTGTGGTATCTTTTATCTCAAGCTCACCAGGATACATCGTGTCGACATAAGAATGGAAATAGCCATTGTTAATTGACAATACATCGTCGATATATCTAAATGTCGAGTTGAAGGCCACAGCAAGTGTTTTCTTCTTTTCACGTACAAGATTTTGGACAAATTCTGCTTCATATGAATGCAAAAAAAGGTCTTCTAATAACGGGGCGCAATTGGTACCCATGGGAATACCAATAGATTGTTGGAAGACCTGGTCTCCAAAAACCACATCGATATTGTCAATCAGAAACTCAAGCATCTTTTTAATGTCAACTTCAGAGTACTTGTGTGTACAATCAGAATGTTTTTTAACAAAATAATTTGGAAATGACCAATGACAAGGTAAGTATATTTACGAGTTCCATTTTTATTGAAAAAGCAGCTGTCAATTATATCAAAAAGCCTGGATTTTAATTTATCGTGGGGAATGGTTGTGTATAAAGTAGAAAAGTCGTAAGTTTTTAAGCTGTTGATTCAAAGGCATTTCTCATACAGTCGTTTAGAGTGTTTAGTGTTTTTAATCAGGACGATATAGACAAAAACGTGTAAGTTTATAAAATTCCAGGCAATTTCTTCACTAATTTGTTGTATTATCAAAGAAGATGGGCGAACAAGGCGAGTAAAATGCTTATTGTGTGACAATTAATAAAGCGAAAAATTAAATTTCAATGATGACAAAATTTGATATTTCATTTCACATTAACGTTTACTTATGTAAAAACTCCTCAAATCGCAAAAATTTCCACAAAGATTGAACTTTGCTATGAAATAGCATACATACACGTAAGAGGGCAAACATGATCAATTCTTCATATTAAAAGATAATATTTCCATATGAGTGGTTCTTCGCTCCATTTTTAAAAGATGATTCTCAAAGTATGCGTAAAAATATACATTCTTCAAAAACATGGAGCAAAGACCCACCATACCTTAAAATATACTTTTATGACACAACATTCGTATCTCTCTGAGAAATATTTGAAGTCCATTTAGTCAAAGGTCATATCAAAAACATAATTTAAATGCTGATATTTGTAATAAAGGGAGATAAGAACTTACTCTAAATACTAAATTCACAAAATGAATTTTACTTTTATACTTTCGAAGCTTTTTAGGCATTTTGCACGTGTTGATCGCCCATTCCCTTCACTTATACCCCGTATTTAACCATATAAGATATTGTGAAAAGATAATGAACAGTCTCAATGTGCGGCATTAAATATATTTTGCGTGAACTTGTATGAACTGCAGAATGATGACTACCATACAGACAAAATAATGCTGTTCAACAGCAAGGTTTCTTTTTTAACCATTGAAAATACGGTATTAAATCTTGAGAATCTTATCAGCCAATTAAGAGAAATATAAGTATGGTATAATTGACCTATACGTAAAATACAAAACAGTTGAAAAGAGAAATCTTTATTTATTTATTTATTTATTTTTTCTTTTACATTTTTATTCATGAATATAACAAATTAATGGAGAATTCCCCTCCAGCAAACAATTTCATATTTTGTATACAAAAATTATAGCATACATAATCAACTTTTTGAGTTAATTATTTTGTTTTATATCCACCAGAAAATTATCAATAAAAATTATTTGAAAATATGAGGATTAGTCATTTGTGCCTAGGACATAAAAAATTGTAAAGATCACAAGCATACCTCTGATGTGATAAGGAAAAACCACCAAAACCATCCGTGGTAAACAAAAAAGAGAACAGCAAACAAAAAGAAAGGGGGTCGTCATATTTTGCGGGCAAGTTTTTAAATGTTTGAGGGCGTTGCGAAGAATGATAAATATGTATACAAAAAAAATCCTGTCCAATCAAAATGTAAATAACATTTCTTTTAAAATTATGTTAATTTTTCCGACTTTTTTTCAGAGCAAAGGCATTCAGTTAGTTTAAAGAAATTATTCAGGATTTATCTAATTATATTTTATAAAATTTGAATAAAATTCCTGTAACAAATAAGGGATTGTAGAACCGTTTTAGAACATTAAAAGGCAATATGCGAACCATCAATCGTTCCGTTTTAGCCAAATCGGAAAAAGAATTAGAAAGACTACATGTACAATATGTTATGATTCCAGCAGACAAGGCTTGTAACAATGTTTTCTTTGTTTGTAAGGCTCATTACTATAACTGTATTTTAGAAGAATTTAATTTTAATTCTGCGTCTGGAAATCCAACTTATACTCACACTTCACTCTCTAAGACTGAAACTCTTCAAGATCACATTTAAGTGTTTAATACTTTCAACATTCCAGTCAACCGAGGTAAGTTCGATCTACCCTCCCTATACGTACTAGATTCCTTTTTAAAAATCCTTACAAACAAAGATACGTTGTCGGGTCCAGCCAATGCTCTACCAAGGTCCTATCTTTACTCCTTACAAAAATATTAACTGCTGTTAAGGTGAAGCTTCAGGCGTGCTGTGTTGCAGAATATTCTAGAAGTGATGTTAATCAGATGTTGATGCTCCAAAGAACTTTCAGAAAATTTAAAAATCACCAATATATATTATTTCAACTTTAAAGCAAAAGAAAAAAAAAAGAAATGAAAAAAAAAAATTAAGAAACCCGTGAACATGCTGAAGAATCAGATACATTTAAACAAATTCAGAAGAGATGTCACACAAGTTCAATCTGCATTTTCACCATAATCAAAACTATGTTTGAACTATCGCTTATTTAATAATATAAATTGATAGATAACTGCAAAGGATAGAAGGGGTAAGGTACACATTATAATAAGTTCACAGTACTCAATTAAAATTTATCGTTAAAGAAACATGGGACCGGCTGGTGTTTAAACAGCAATTAAAATCTCGAATTCGAAATATCACTAATTACCCCACGATGTCAATTTGGAGAGGCTTATAGGAGAGGCTTATAATTATCTCCGGATCAGCCTAAGAAATAGATAGGTGAAATCCTAAAATTTCATATATTTTCAGTTATATATTTTTTTTTATTGAATTTTCATGCAGGATGTTGTATTCAAATTTACACATATATGATTTTTTTCCCCGACTTACCGGTTACAGATTTTCTAATTGGTAACCATCGTTCCGACCGAGAAACCGGTTAACCGATTGCAAATTAACATCCCTAATATATATATATATATATATATATATATATATATATATATATATATATATATATATATATATATATATATATATATATATATATATATATATATATATATATATATATATATAAAGTTTTGCGAGTATATTTATAAAAATGTTTTTGCACGCAATTTAAAAACGTTTGATATAATAATGTTTGATATGGCACAGAAAATTAAGAGAAAAATTATTTGAAAATAATCATTCGTACATCCGATTTCAGAGAAATTGTAAAATCAAACGCATACCTCTGCTATGAAAAGGAACAAACACAAACACCCTCCGTGGTAAACAAAACAGAGAACAAACAAAGAGAAGTGTGGTCTTCATATCGTGGAGGCAGGTTGTCAAATGTTCGAGGGCGTATCGAGAAAGGATAAATATGCATATAAATATAACCTGTCCAATCAAAACAATGAAAATACTACCCATTATTTTTTTTTTGCAAATAACACCAATTTGTCCAGCTATTTTTATTCAAGTGCTATCTCCTTTGTTCAGAGCAAATACTTTAAGATATTCTTCATAATTTATCATCCATCTAAGATTGATTTAAATATAATTTTTATAAAATTTGAATAAGATACCTGCATCAAATTTCACACTTAAAAAACCTGAAAGGATCCCTGGTTTTGTTTACTTCAATAATGAATGGTAAAAACATGTTCTATCAATCATTCTACTCAAAAACTAAAAACGTCTTTTTTGGTGCATTATTTTAACTATGTGTTAAATATATACATTTCTTTCCCGCTGACTGAAATAGGGAATTGCGCATTTGTTTCGCTACGTCCGTATAGTAAAGCTAGTAGACAAACAACTGTAAGGAATAAAACTATAGACTATTTAAAATGTCTTGTCTGTTTTCAGTCAAATTAAAAGTTTGCAAGGAAAATAATAATTATATCCGCACTTTCTAAAGAAAGTTCGGGTATATTGTTGTTACCCTGGTCCGTCCGTCCGTCTGTCACACTTTCTTCTTAATCTAACCACTACTACATTTTAAGCAGAAGTCAATCAATCTTTTCGAAAATGATAGGAGATGTCCTGTAGATGTGCAATAAGGTTTTGGAATTTTCAATTTAACCCTGGGGGCAAAACGGGAGTCAAAAAATGATGTATTTTCCACAAAAGCCTGTAGCCCTGTTCAAAAAAAAAATCTAAAGTTTTTGCGTAAGATTTTAAATTTAGAATCTCTTACGACAAATTTTAAGTGCTTTTTACGAACGCATTCGTAGCAGATTGAACTTATGATTTTACTTACGACAAACTTCTTCCCTTGCAACGATCTCAATATGCTTTATAATCCTTAAAAAAGTTGATGATAATAAAAATGAAGCGAAGTTTTCAACACTTGTAAATGAAACAAGCACTAAGCACAACAAAAATCGGGTGTAATGGATTGTGAAGCAAGGAAGTTTGAAATCTGACGTCACCATCACAAGTCTGACGTAAAAGTAGGTCATACTAAAATCTTAAGAGTAACTGCCATCGTAAATATTTTGCAGTCTATTTCATTTAATTTTTCGACAATAATTGTGAAATAATATCAAATGCCATTATAGGATGCGTAAAAAAACTTCTATTAAACGTTTATCTGTGATATTTTTTAATTAAAAGCAGCTCTAAGATACTTACGAGAGGGTAGAGCTTTCGTAATGTTACAAATTTCACAAAAGAATCTCGTAAGAATTTTTGTGAAAAGGAATAACATCGTAAGATTTCTCTTACGATGAAAATTAATCGTAAGATTTTTTGTGAAGAGATCTACTGGTACCGAGAACTCCTACATTTTATGTAGTAACCTAATCATCTTTTAGAAGATGGTTGATGGTGTCCTGTAGATGTGCAATAAGGTTTCGGAATTTTCATTTTCACCCTGGGGGTCAAATGGGGGCAAACAATGATGTTTACTATACAAAAAGACCCTACTGATTTCCAGAACTCTGGGGGGTCAAATGGGGGTCGAGAAATGACGTTTAAAATCTTAATGTCAAAGATTTTATGAATTATGGTCTGGTTGTCGTCTCTCTTAATTTGACCTTAAACGAAGAAAGGGTCAAGGTAAAAAAAATGATTCAGCAAATTTTGTGTTGTCTTCCATCCATGTTCCAAATTTGTAATGTGAAAGGGTTCTCAGATTCTGCCTTCAATTATATTTTCATGTAAAAGATTGACCTTGACTTTATAAATTTTTGGCATGCACCTTTTCTCCATACCACCTGCATCTCCATGTTCCAAGATTAAAATTTTAATGTCAAAGGGTTCTTAAGTTATGGTTTGAAGATGTTTTCTCAATTTGACCTTGAATGAAGAAAGGAGTCAAGGTTAAAATTTTGGTGCAGTGCATCTTGTGTTAATGCCTTCGTTCTATGTTACAAGTTTGAAATCCTAATGTCAAAGGAGCTTGATAAAAAAAAAACTTGGTAGCCTCAACCCCACCTCCATACCACCTCCCCATGATTAAAGTTTGAAGTCTTATTGTCAAAGGGTTGTCAAGTTACGCCTAGGACAACATTTGATTGAAGAAGAAAACTGACAAAAACCGTATGTAGACAAGTATATTCTACTGGTCGAATCAAAACTGCAAAAGGAGTAGAGTTCTGAAAGCAGAACAAATTTGTTTCTACAAATTTATGTAATGAAACTTTCACATAAGATTCAACTTTTCTTGCCCAGTGGTTCTTGAGAAGAAGATTTTTGAAGATTTCTTTTACAGTAAAGCACGTTTATAGCAAACACGCTTATAATGAAATGACGCTTACAGCGAAGCTAATTTCATTCCCCATGACTTTAAAATATATTGTAAACTTAATGGAGCAATTACACTTATAACGAAGCAAAATTGTCCGTCCCAGGCACTTAATTATAAGTGTGTTTTACTGTAAATTCCCATGTTTTCAAAACTTTGATCCCCTAATGTGGCCCCACGTTACCCCTGAAGGTTATGATTTGGACAAAGTTGAATCTACACTAAGTAATGAAGTTTCACATAATTTTAAACTATTTAAAATATTCTGGCCCAGTTGTTCTTGAGAAGATTTTTGCAAAATACCATTAAATTTTCACACATTCTTATCTCCCCTTAAAAGAAGGTTTGACCCTTTATTTGTAAACAATCGTTTTACACAATAAAGAATATTTTACATGAGAAACAAAACTCTTTGTTTTTTAAATATTTCATCACAGCTCTAGTGTGTTTCTTGTTATTTTAACTAAGATAATGATTATTTAATCCTGATTGTTCAATTTTGTACAGGCCTATGTACAGTATGATGCAATAAATATTCGTACAAAATGGCGGCGTGTTCACATTTGCGACGAAAGTAGGTCAGTTTAAAAACGTATATAAGATGTTTTCAAAATTAATAAAACAATTTAAACTTACCTAATACTTTGTCAAATGTCCTTTCAATCTAATTACACTGAGTAATCTGCAAGGAATCGATCGGTAGAGGCAGCCACAGGTTTTCAATAACGTTAAGATCTGGGCTCTGTGCTAGCCAACTCTTGGTAGTAATATTATTTCTGTGAAAGAGCTGTTGAGTACTTCTAGCCCGATGCACCGGAGCATTGCTCTGCTGAAATATGTAATTTTCGGTAGGGAAATGACGGACTATAACTGGCTCAAGTTCTCATACAGGATCTCCTGGTACTTCTCAGCATTAATATTGCCATTTAGAGATGTTATAGTTCCCACACCGTCCCATGTTACACATCCCAAGACCATCACTTCATAATATGGCTTACCCTGTCGTGGTGTCATTAGATCAGGCCTCCATACCTCGTCCCTTTTGCGCCACACACATACACGGGAATGTCCAATCATAATTTTAGACTCATCAGAAAAAATCACTTTACTCCAGTAATTATCAACTGTTAATCGTCTCTGCACCATGACAATTTTTTTTCCGGTTACCCTCTTTTACAACAACTTTTTTTCCTAGACACACGTCTAAAGTACCCATGTTTGTGAAGAGGAGTTGTACTGTGCGTTTAGCAACGTGATTATTAACATTTTCGTTAAGGTAGTATGGGATACCTCCACGTTATGACGTATTTCCGTTTGAAGTATTGTTTTGATTTGCATGAGTGCTTATTATCGGGTCAAAATTTGTAGTTACACCGTTGAAAAGAACACTCTGAAGCCTATTTCAATGCAAGTTCTCACAAGTCGGCATTTTAAGTAAAAACAGACAAAAAAAATCGCAAGTATATAAATTTACTTATAATTGTACAACGGACATTTAAAAAAGCAAACCCCTGTAAAAGGTAGTTTCAACATTGCTGCTTTTGAACACTTTTAAGCAAAAGCTGTATTTCAATTGTTTGAGTAACTGTACAGCACCTTGTGTGCGGTGAGGCATGGATAAGTGTGATTACTTCACATTGTGCTGAATTATCACCAATCAATTATCACGTTAACCACAGCTGGACTTTTTTGTTATTTAATTCAAGAAGTAACTGTTTGGTCACAAATCAGCTAGCTGTTGTATATAGTCCCAAAACGTTCAGATGAATGCAATTGCTCTGAACAAGACACGTCCTGGAAAGCGATTGTCCATGCATTGTTTTCAAAACCGCTCAAAGTTGAAAACTACAAAGTGCGATTTTTTTATGGTTGGGAAAAAATGCTCATCATTTCTAAAATAGCACCCAGGTTTTTTCAACCCTTGGAAAATAAAGAAGGACAACTCTTCCGCTCGGATCTTTTAATTCAAAAAATTTTAAATGCATTTTATATTTTCCATTTATACATATATTTTCAATTTGTTTATTTCACTTTGCTAACATATTAAGATACATTCTTATTGTAGACTTTCATGAAATGTTATCCGTCTGTTTTCAAGAAATAAAGTTTTCCCAGTTTTTTACGCTTATTTTTTGTTGAAAATTAAAAAAATACTAAGACATATTTCTTGTCATTTTTGTTTTTATATACACTTTATATTAGCAAACGCCTGCCTATAATATTAAGCTTATGAAAAAAGAATTATGCAAGGAAAAAATCATTTTTGTATTTCTCATTAAAATAATAAAAAAAATTATTAAAATTACACTTTAATATACTGAAAGGTGGGGGTATTTCAAATCCTTCTAATTTGGGTACATAAATATGTAGGAGAAGTTTCGTTTGGTATCCCATACCACCTTAAATTTGTTCGTAATATCTAACAAACTGTAACTTTATCTGGTTTCACCAACCTTTCTACGGTAATCGGCGGTAATCACGAGCTGTTACTTTCGGAGGCCGATTACTTCGTCTAGTTCTGTTGTTTTCCACCGAACCACGCTGCTCAATACGTTTTTTTCACACTCGAAACAGTAGT